TCTTTCCTCTCACCCTCTTGGTGGGGGGTATCTGTTTCATCCTCAAGCTTCGGGTCTCGTACAGAGGGCTGGGAGCTTGGAGGGTTCTGCGCAGTATCTTACTCTTCCTAGGACTACAGCTCCCTGGACTGAGGCTACTGAAGTATAGTTCCTGGAATCTGTTGGAACACTCACCACAGTTTGGGTACTGAGCAACCCGGAAAGTGCTACATAATTACACAAGAAAGATCACGATGGCCTAATATCCACATACTGCTCCAGCTGTTCTTCAACCCGTCTTTTAACCTTTCGGTCTTCTTTTCTGGATGTTGGCGGTCTGGCTGGTATGACATTCTATACACCGCTTTCTTCTTGACTCCTTGCTCTACACGACTGATGTTGTTTGGTTTGGCCCGAGGACGCTGTTTGGCTCAGTCGTTGGAGCTGGAAGTGCCCACAAGCGACGCTTGTGCCTGTGTCTACCACGCCTTGTCTGTTGGGTGCGGCCCATTTGGGATTTAGGGGTACTTCTTATTCCATACATGGTACAGATCCTTCCTTCTACACTATTGCCAGCCATGGTTGTCTCTCTCCAATGTTACAACTGAACTAGTTGCATTCTTCACCTGTTCTGCATTGTAGATGAGGAATGTGCTGGTGGATATGGTTCTCTATGTGGGGACCGTATTTCTTATTGAAGCTCTGCCATGGTGTGTTGAAGTCCTACGATCCTACTTTATTTGATCTTTAGCTCATTATGCTCTTGATTAATAAGTGTGCGATGAGTTTCTGTTCTCTGCCATATTGGTGCCGATGTTGGCCTCTCTTGTGTTTCTCATTTCGTTCTTCTTTATTGAATTGAATTGAAACCTGTGTCTAGCTGAAAAACAAGGGGGTTAAGCATGGCATACAAATAGGCACAATGTATGGTGCTAATGGGTATTTAGGTGAATCAGAATCAGAATTAGAATCAGAAATACTTTATTACTTATCACCGGGGGGAAACTGTATGTACGGTTCACCTAATGACTCATATGTAATTGTCG